ACTTTGCACCCTGCAGAGAAAAAATCATTCGTTAACAGTTTGAGTGAATTCACTTTCTTTGTTGTAAGGAAATGCTGCTTGTTGGCTGTAGGCCACAGAACGTGGCAATGGACCTCTAAAGACTACGGTCTAGATGTAGAACAGCAAACGGTCAAAAAAGTAAAATTAAACATGTTGCCTGGAGTCCTGTACTTCGATATTCTTATGTATCTTTACAGAGCATGGGCCGTCAGTCTCTTGTGCGGGAATGGAGAGTCTGGACAGGAACATAACTCCAGTTTCGCTCTTTTCCCATGTTTAATCAGTCTTACAGTAAGTAGCGTAAGACGTTGCACTTTTCGGTTTTGTTATTAGATGCACTTTTACTGTGTACAGTATCCAAGAAAACGGCTAAAACCATGCATTCAAAACAGTCATAGTCAAGTCAGTCATTGTGGGTCCTGTTGTGCACGAAAGAGGCTTCTTAACTCTACCTCACCGATCATTATTTTTATTATCATTATCATTGTTATCATTATCATTGTCATTATCATCATAATCATAACTATAACAAAATTCTCAAGTCTGATTAGCTATCAACTGCCCTGATTTCAGCCATAATAGGACAGTTTAATAGGACAGTACGCATCATACCTAAGTAATTGGACAGTACGCTCCGTCACATGTGCGTTTAATAGCTTTTTTCACCGCTGGCAGAAAAAAAAGATCTCGGAATTTCTTGTGTTTTGATTTTAAAAAAGAGCCTTATATATATCACAAATTTTGTTAAAGTTATGATTAATAGCGTAGCGCGCGGATTACGTTAGAGTGACTAACTTGCAGTTTTTGTCTGAGGTTTGCCATTTTTCTCATCTCAATAACAAAAGACAGACAAACATGACATTTTAATGACAAAAGTCAGACAAAAGTGAGGAATTTGCTAATGTTAATTTCATTTTGTTTGTCTGAGTTTCGGGTCTATACATAGTAACTGCGCTCGGCACTATTGGTAACAGAACTTCGTGTCGTCCATTTCGGTCTGTAATCATACTCGTGATTAAACAAATCGGACTCCGGCTACATGGTCGTCCGATTTTGTTAATCACTCGTATGATTACAGACCGAGTTGGACTCCACTCAGTCCTGTTACCATTACTTATTATCATTGTCATTATTATTGTCATTATCATTATCATTATCAATATCGTTATTATTATTATTATTATTATTATTATTATTATTATTATTATTATTATCAGTATCAATTTATGAAAGGTCACAAGCGGCCCAATAACGCTAAAGCTACCAATATAACACCTGAAAGAAAGAACTCCCAGAACACGAAATACACTCTCTTTAATGAAAGGTGTGGTAACAGTTGGTAAATTTTCAACATGTTTTTCTATCTTAGGATGAAGGTATGGACCATATTTATGACGTAAGTTTGGTGTCTTGCACCAGTCGTGCTCCATAGCTATCTGGCCATAGTGCTCAGACATTTTTGATCCGATTCATAAAATCTATTACACTTCATTAGCAAGCCACTGTCGCTAGAATGTAAGTGCACGGGAAAAAGGGCGAATACTTAACCTTGTGTTGGCATCATTTACTCAAACGCGCTGATACATTTGCGACATAATCATGGCAATATTTGATACCTGCTCTAGAAAAAAAGTGAACATTAAGCGTCTTATGTCAAGTACACAAATTACCAGGAGCAGGTGCCTTAACATCGATTATTTTAGGTAGGATAGTCACTTGCTCGCGCTTGACAGTGCCTGCCTCCAATCTATCCCCCAGCCGCGGTAAACCGGTCGTTGCAGCTTGCCAATGATGCGTTAAAATGTGATGCGAGCCGTGCTGCAACTTAACGTCTATTTCTGTTTGGACAGATTTTAACGATCGTGTTTCAATATCTGGAATTACTAAGACAAAAAGGGCCGCAGGAAAGGTACGTATGGATAGGGGACTTGGTTGTAAATAAATAAATAAATAAATAGATGATGTGGATATGAAACCTCGGTTACAAATAAATAAGTAAACGGGTTAATAAATGAATGAATGGATTAATTAATTAATGGTTAAGTGAGTGAGTTGTTTTAACTGAATTGCTAAATGAATGGATAAATGGATGGATGAATGAAAGAATTATGGGAATAAATATTGTAACAGTTGAGAATTAAGAGATGTACTTGAGCATAATATTTAAAAATGGTTCAGCCTTGTTGAAGGTGCAAATTGACTCTGTCTGCACAAAACTGTCTGTTTAAAGAATTTGCTCAAGTGCCTGCCTTTGTCATTATGATAAGGCTTCAAACTGATTTTATACACTTTTTTATGCCAAAGAACTATTACGCGTACCAAATTATTGCAGTCAAAAAGTGTCATAGTATATTGCTGTTTCGGTCTTTCGCCCTTCAGGTTTGGCTTGGATTTCCTCGGTCCATATAGACAAAGTACTGGCATGGCTGAGTCTGAGTCCTCAATATTTCCCTCCCAGTATAAGCCTAGCCAATTTTGAAACGCAAATTTCCCTTACAAGCCCCTCCAAAAATAAGCCCCTCAAAAAGGGCCTTTGATAAATATGAGCCCCGTGGCTTATTTTCGGAATTTTACAGTATGTAGTGCATTTCCGTACCATACCACATAAGCATATTACCTCTGATTGTTTACAGGATATACAAGGAACTTCAGACTATTGAAAATAATGAGTTCAGATTTCAAGAACAGGTAATAGATTTCCTTTACTTGTTTATGTATTTGTTTGTTAAATTCAATCGTCGATGCAGTTAATTATGTGGGCGCAGTGGTACAGTAAACACCCGCATATAAAAACAAATGGATTAAAGTGCCCATCACCAAAAATTTTTTATTTTCTTATCTGAAACTATACCTTATTAAAATAACTTCTGCGAAAAAATTTTGCGATTTGAACAAAAGCCGATTTTTTTACAATTTTTTGAAGTCTACATTTTTGCGGTACACCCGCGCCGCTGATCACGCAAACTTGCAGGCTCGGCTATGACGTCATGTGACGTAAATTAAGGAACTCGCTTTACCTTGCCTTCACTAGCTGTACACAAAAAAGATCGATTACAAGTAAGGATTGAATCGCTATGTCTTCGCAAGAAGAAAGTTGTTTTGAAACAGAAAGTGAAAAATCAAGAAGTGAAGACGAGACCATCGAGGTAGAAGCGGTCGTATGAGAAACAGAAAACAACATACAAGACGATTGGCTCGAGCCGTACGCAGACGAGCCTTTAGCTGATCAATGGCTGCAAAACAGTCGGTGTGAACAAGCTGAAAGAGATCAGTTGGAAGAACTTAGAAGAGCTGGAAAAGAGTCTTGAAAACGGCGTTCGTGTGGCTGACTGGTAAGTTTTCTTGATAGTTCTGCGGGCTACTGCTTCGAACGTTCAGCAGCAACAAAAGAACTATATATCTTCTACATTGCTCTCGAGTCAGTTTAGAAGCTTTTCAATGTTTGCGGCATTACTCGCGTCTATATTTTACGTTTACGTGTACTTGTGGAATTTGTAGCAGTAATCTGTTCATACACATTAGTGAATGCTATTGCTGCAAGGAGCTGGAAGGTTGTGTTGAGGCCCATGTCGAGTGAAGTTGTCCGCGAAGAACCCTTCATTTTCTTTACTTCTCGGGGTTACTTGTACAACTTTAATGTAACACTGATATTGACGTATAAAATCTGTTCTACAGCAGTAGCATTTCTTTTACATTTGTTGTAGATATCTCCGATCAATTGATTGCCGGGAGTTTACAAGACTTGTCTATGAACACCTGGGAAAAAAAAGGATACCTCTCCCTGCCTGTGCATATGCTGCTATTCAGAAATCAGTTCTTACCAAGGAGGACGAGCAACTAGCTGGTTTTTAGTTAGAGGAAGATTAAGTTCCCCTACAGACATTCATTTAGTGAATGCAGCTGAGTATATTTAAGTAAGGGTAGCATGGAATTTGGGGCTGTCACAAGTTGTATGGCCACATGATGAATTTCTTTATCACATTTTTTCACATTTTTTTCAAGTTTTTTCAATGCTATGAACATCTTGAGCCTGAACTTGAAATTAAGGTTATTTATTTCAAAGTCGTAAAAAGCCAATTTGCTTTCATTGATTTCCATCCATTTAAGGAGACTTGTACCTATTCCCCTGTAGTTTAAACTTGGCACTATTTTTTTTTTTTTTTAAATGAATTGTAATTATCATTCATTGCAAATTTTCCTTCCTTTTCAATGGCTGCGTGCCTAACTGCCTACAAATAATGGTCTACTCAAGGACAATGTCATCCAACTTTGCTTTGCTGCAAATAAAAAAAACTGGTGATTGAATGACAAAACAATATTATTGACCTCAGTTATTGCAAAATATAGTGATTTGTCAGAGTCTCGCAGATCAATAATAAATATTATTTGCCTCAGTGTTTGGCTTTCATCTGCTCCCCACTGACAAATCACAAAATCTTGCTCAACATTGTCCAATTATTGTTAATTTTTAAAATCAATATTTTATTGGGAAGTTCCAATCTTCTCTTTTATTTAACTGTAAATAACAGTAGTGAAGACAAATCACATATGGTGAACTTTGCTATTTGGTAACAGTTCAAAATCTCTATGCTCCATGTAGTAGCTGCTGTTTGGTTTCTGTACAAACATACCAACCTTTAAAAACATTTCGTTCAAGATGACAATTAAATGCCAAGGGCCTTGGGATTTTTGACCAATGGCAATCACTCTAAAAAGTTAATTCTTTTCAACTTGGAAATCAGGACAACCAAAAACTTGAGGATATTGATTGATGTGTGGTCATTTTAAAAAAAATTTCTTTAGGAGTGTTGACAATAATATGACTTAAATATGACTTGTTTCACAGTAGAGTGCAATAATTGAGTAAAATTTCTGACTAGATTAGGAGATCAACTTTTTCTGTAAAGATTCTCTAGTATTTCACATCTGTTTATATAACAAATCACTTTTCTTCCATTTTTATGCAGAATAAAAATGTCTTATTCTTTATTGTTTCTTGGACAATCTAAGACGGCACTATGTCCTCTCATTGGCTTCTTGCATAAAGAGCAAACAGGGCGTGCTCTTGCAGGCCGTTCTCTTTGTTCACCCCATGTCTGATTTGGCACTGCAATAAAAAATGTATTGAGATAAGGACAGATGATAGAATAAAATGTTTCTTTTTCTGACAGAGCGAACCTTCATTTAAGTATAATTCTTTGCTTATGCAAAGGACCCTGAAATGACTTACTTCTGCACAGGTTGTCTAAACATCAGCAAACAAAAACAAGTCCTCCTCAGGACTACACTAAAGCAGACAATCAAACAACAATGCATGAAAAGACTACTGGGTTCAAACCATTTGCTAAAAAATAAGGGGATTGATCACCAAGCCTCCCCTCAAGGGAATTGATCAGCCTCACTAGGCTCACCCGTCATCAATCTACAACTTTAGATTTTAAACAATGCTGCTTCAAGTTCCAAAACACATACCAGATGGTGCTGTGGGGGGAACAGCTGTTGTAACCATGTTCATCCTCTTTTCTATCTTCCTGATGGCCTCTTCCCTGGGTTGTTTATCCAGCATGCTGTTCATTGGCTGAGCAACCATTTTCTTCATGTCATTGCATGCATCTTGAAGTTGCTGTTTGCTTAGGGTCATGTAAAACTTGAAGAGTTCTCCAACATAGTCTAAATGTTCATTGAACAAAAACAAGGTAATAATTTATGAAGAAGTATGAAACAAAAAAAAGTAGAATGATACTTAGAAAGCTATTTTAACTGTTGGATGAATGGTGGTTAAATACCAAAGTTTGGCTCAATCTTGTGGTTCCGCACAGTTGCTTCACCATTCTTGAATTTGGGGAATGTCATTTTCAGCAAGACACTTCCATCTTGATTAACTTTGTCATCACGGTGTAAATTGAAGTTAAAATGTAATGCAGCTAGTATGTGCCTACAGCATGAGAACAATATGCATATCATCAAAAGTTGCTAATATTTTTATTTAAAAAGCAATGATAGTATTTTAAAAGTTTCATTTTCCTGGCCAAGCAAACAAAAAATAATACACTATTGTTCAACTGGCAAATAAACCATTAATAATCTGTAGAGTCTTTAATGCTAGGGGAGGTATATATAAGATGCTATTACACATTCAAAAAGTAACATTTTAGCCTACCTGCAGAACATTCCAAGATAGGAATAAGCAATAATCTTGGGTGCAAAGAAGTTAAGGACAGAATGAAACCCTTCCAGGCAGTCTGTCTGGGCATACAGGAATGCTTTCATGATTCCCTTCTTCAGGCTGTCAGAGGTCAGGGCTTTCTTTACTTTCTCATATACTAAGTGAGCTAAAAATAGAAATATTGTAATTAAAATAAAATAAACTCGTTTCAGACATTTACTTAAGAGTAAAACAACAACATGGATCTCCAACGGGGCAAGTGTAAACAGGGCCTTTGACCTATGTGAGGCACTTTCCTGATGTGAAAGTGAATAGATATTATCATAGATGTTCTATTGAATCTACAGTAAGTGTACATGACCTGTAAGAAAAGCTTTGAATTTTTCACAAATTTACTGTAAATGTCAGGATCTGCCAAAAGAAACAATTTCTTGAATTTTCAGTATGATGCAAGCAAATATTAATCATGTTTAACAAAAACTCGACATATGCTACACACAATTGACATTGGAGGCAAAATTATGTTCAGTTTTTCGTCTTGGACAGTTAAAATGGAATATAGAGCTTAAAAGACATGTATAATACAAATTACACATACCAGGATTGATCCATGTCCTATGATCACAAAAAGACTGCCTAGGACGAAAGCGAAAAAAAAAGAAAAAAATCCAACAGCATCTTACCACTTCTAGCTGCGTACTTGATGAAGGACTACAAAAGCTCATGTTGATGTTGCAGACTCGTTGAGTGTTCTCAAACGAGACTTTGCAGATCTTACAAGCTGTTATAATTATAGACAAAAACAAGAAAGAAAATTAAGTGTGTAACTCTGTGCATATATCGGAAAGGAGTCTGAATCCTTGCCATTTGTAAAACCACCAAAAGCACGTGGTAATAGGTAAATTTTCACACATTTGCGTCGGTTGCTTACCATGCGCTTCTCCCTCTTGGAAGGTGGTTCCTCTGATTCTTCTTTCGCGTGTATTGTAGAAAATACACAAGTTCCTATATCGTCGGACCTCAGTGAATGTTTCAAATCCGAATCAGGCGAAAGTTGAAGTTGTCCTCTCTAAAATGAAGCGAACACAAGGAGGACGTCTTCCCCGGAGTCCAATCTTTCCTCTTCGAAAGCACAACGCCAACCCATCGCTTTCGCCTTCTTTGGGCTGTGGGGTTAGTCGACCCAAAAAACGGTATTTTATGCATACTAATTCCCTTCTTAGGGTTAGACACATTGCTACATCTCGCCGCAACGCACCTTTCTGGCATTTTGACCTTTTGCACGGGATAAAGTGAACTTTCACGAAGAGAAACCTGCCAGAACTCTTCAATGTTTACCTGCGATAAAGTCACATGTTCCTTAAAGTACGTCATATGACGTCATACTCCGAGAGAAGACTAAGACGAATGGTGTGTAAAATGGCGGCCAATTTGAACGTTTTCAAAAAATTGTAAAAAAATCGGCTTTTGTTCAAATCGCAAAATTTTTTCGCAGAAGTTATTTTAATAAGGTATAGTTTCAGATAAGAAAATAAAAAATTTTTGGTGATGGGCACTTTAAGAACACCAATACAGGCCCATTTTTATGAGAACAAGATCAGCCTTAAAACTGTAACATGTTCTTATAAATGTAAGAAGTGTCATAATTACAATGTAAGTTTATGTTTGCTGTCAGATAACTTCATTTGTTACTATAATCCAATTACAGAATAATTATTTATTTTATTTTCCTAAAATATGCTAAATATACCTCTAGCAAAATGTATTGGATAGTATTACTAAATAAAATTTAAGAACATTTTGAGGCTGATTTGTCATTAAGCACCCAATAAATAAGAACTCAATCAGCCTGACTTCCGAAATCGTGTGTTCTTGTAGGCGGATGTTTACTGTATACGACGAACTTTGCACCATTACGTTGCTGGATTCAACGCGACTGCTACAAAAACGTGGGAAAACCTAATTTTAATTTACTGGTGTTGACAATTTTTACTTTGCTTTTGACTGGAGTCTGTTATAAAGTTTTATTGGCATAATGCGTATGCCATAGCATGTATGTTTGTCACGCGGCGTAAGGCACAATATAGTGTATTCGGTAAGTAGTGTTAGATCATCCAGCAGGGTTTATGGAGCTCTGAAGGAGGCCTGATACATCCACATTCACTGGTTCTTTTCATTGTACTAACCCAGCGTACTCGCGTGGTTGATTTTGTCAATAAAGTGGAGTGGTTAATGGGTACTCCATTTTAAACACTTAAAATTTACTCAAAACCTTGCTCCGAAGCCAAATGTTTGTTCTTCAATATTTCTTAAATAGCCTTTTGTAGTTTTTGCTCAAACTCATGTTTCGATTTACGGTCGAACCTCCACTAATGGCCACCTCTCTACTCCCCAAGGTGGCCATTGTGGAGAGGTTCGACTGTATTTATTTATTTGTTTATTTTACTTTAGTTAGAGAATTTGTTCGTTCATTTTCAGTGCGAACCGTACGACTATGTCGAGGACCTTGCAGAAAATATGCAGGTATGATGTAGAACTTAGTTTAAAATATTCGAGTCGAGTATTTTATTCGCGATTTCTCAAACAGATCACAAGCTTAGATATTATTTGTTCTCTCCCAAGTAGTATTGTGAGGCTAATTTGTCAAATAAATGTCTTGTTCTGTTTGCCTTTTCCAGCTTTCTGTTGCAAACAAATTTGCACCTTTCGTAGGCGACCAATTTTTCAGGGTTGTTGTTTTGTTTGTTTGTTGTTGTTGTTTTTTTTCAGATTAATATTACCTCGCTTAGTCCAAATTTCAGCCACTATGACTGCTAATTTAGAAACCGTATTGCCATTTCTAGTTACATACATATATACATACATACATACATACATACATACATACATACATACATACATACATACATACATACATACATACATGCATGCATGCATGCATGCATGCATGCATGCATGCATACATACATACATACCTTCTTTATTCGTTCCAAAAGGGCTTTTTAGTATAAAGATAAGATTGATAATTAATGTATAATACAAACGGAGCCGATGAACAGCAGAAGTTATTAACTAAAAGTGGTAAAAACTGTGCACACCTATAATTGAGTAAAAACTGGGCAAAAAAAAAAAGTCTTCCTATGTCTATGATCACATTTCCTTGTGTTGCTAACAATACGGATTTAGTTGACTTATCAACGTGGTAACCGGTTACTTACCCTATTTTTTGGTAATACTAAAGAGAGAAACTTAAAACCTGCTTCGCTATACGAGTTTGTTTTCCATCTTGTCTAAGAAAATGCTGCATGAACTTACGATGAAATACCCATCTCATGCTTGTATTGTCTTTGATAGCTGTACCCAGTAGAAGATTATTTAACAGGAGACAACCTCATGTGGGAATTCAACGAAGAGGTAGTTTAAAAATTATAGATTTAGCCGAGACTAAAGGCGAAGCTCCCGTAAATAACATATTGCAATAAAAAATCCAATTAGTGTTGTGTCTGCAATCATGATACTGGTCAGCGGATACCTTGTTTTGATAGCTGGCAATTCACCACAACATGGATGTGCAATATCAGGTTGCAGGTTTCCAGACATAACTGTGAACATTTCACATTGGTTTCCTGGCGGACGGACAGGCGGATGGATGTACGATCATGTGACTACCAAAATTTCCTGGATGGATACGTCACCCTAACCAAATTTTCTTCGCTTTGAGGTACCACTCGCGCGCGCTTCGCGCGTGCGTGGAGCTCCGCTGAAAATTCACTTACGCTCAGTTGCGACATACTGATGATTTTGCTTGACTCATAAATGGCTTTTGCTGAGAGCGCTGCAAGAATTTGGAACAAAGACGCGTGTATGGTCGTGTCGTTACACTGAAGCTTTGATAATAACACCCAACCCCAACCACGCCCATCTACAGACAGTTTGACAATCTTGCTTAGTTGTAGCTGGTTTCGAAAAAAATAGCCGGGGGTTTTGGACCAATCAGAAACGGGAATTTTTGTTGGATAGATATCAATTAAGATAACTAAAAATTTAACCCGGCTGGTTTCTTTGCGCATATTTGTAGGTAATTCAGAATGTACAAAACCTTTTAACGCCAGAAAGAGCCAACATCATGCTGTTATCAAAGAAGTTTGGCGAGGAGTGCACTGATTATGAACCTTGGTTCCAGACCCCCTACAACTGTTCTGGTATGTGGTGTTGCACTGACTAGATTTCCTTACTCCATGGTGCTTCGTGTGTGATCCGCTGGCGTGGCAAGTAAAAAAAGAAACAAACGAACAAACAAAGAAAAATAACCTTTTAGAATGTGATCATCTATGTGGAAGACTGCGAGCAGTCTCTTATTTCTCTTTGCAAAATTGCTCCACGAATGAGCCATGCACGCAACCGTTGAAGCTTCGAGGCAGCGCCTTTGTTTGTAGCCTCTCTGGCTGGGATAAGAAATGGACGGATTTTAAGAGAAAAGGAGGATTCATGTGATGATTTGTTCATTGCGGCGAAGCATCTCCTCACAGAAAAGAAAAAGTCTATGCACAAGCTTAATAGCCCATCTGGCCGGAACTTAGTACCCCGTTTTGCGAGGCATAAAGCGACTAGGAATATGTATTATAGTCCAATGCAGGGTGATGCACTCCTTTGTAATTAATACTTGGCAATTATTGGATAAGGCTGC